GTCTCTGCTCAGATTTATGTCTAAATTTAACGGAAAATCTTTCGCACTAGTATCAACAGACGCAACATAATTGTCTAGTCATAATTTAGGTAACGGCTTACATAAATAACACAACAGGATACTGTAATATGTATCAGAATTTTGAGTCGATGTTTCTTCCCTTTCTTTCTTTTATAACACAAATATAAAAGAAAATATATAAATATTATTTATCGCTTTCTCTCTCTCTCTCTCTCTCTCTCTCTCTCTAATATTCTATATCTATACAAGCATAAAAATGTAAATGTTTGAAATTGTCACTACTATCATGGTATTTCCTTTGTTTGTAAATCGCTACCAATTGCTACCACTGCATTTATACTCTCTTCATTGAAGTATATCGTGCAAATAAATAAGATAAATTTCTTATACACATCAATATAGCATATAATATATCATACAATCTTTACCTTTATTATATACTTTTAATGTACTTTATATATATGCAGGATTACAATTTTTCTCGTAAACGCTTTAGAAAAATTTATTTCGATTTTTTTTTCTTTTTGAAAGTGTCACACTTGATTTATATTTATTATACTTTGAAATCGGGAAAATAGATCCCCAGGAAAAAATCCATATATAACCAAATATATAAATTTAATTTGTCCGCTACTGCTTTAGTAACAGCAGCTTTTAATAACTGGTTTCTTTAATAAATTTTGTAAATTAGTTTGTTGGCGCCAATTTAGTCGATGCTGCTGCTGATGTTGAAGGAATTATTATCCTCTATAGACATATTGTATCATTAGTGATTTTAGTATTTATATCTATTCTAGAAATCGCTTTTGTTAATGTATTGGTTTTGGTCTTGATAAGCGAGATTTCATCTATTAAACATAATAGATAAATCATGTATATACGTAATTTCAGTGCCCACATATGCAATATTCTAAAGACGTCCAGAAGACATTCCGAATCATCTTTGGACGATATAGGATATCTTTGGGATGTTTTATTTGAACGTCTTTTGGATATATGTATGCTATATGGGCCCAGATAGCCAGGTCTGTTCGAACAGATTTTGCCAAACGTCTGCTACAAATTTTTGTCAGCAGAAAGATTCCAGATTGTATACAAAGTCTGTTATATCAAATAATAATAGCAGAATGTCAGCAGAAATGTTACAAAACGTGCTGACATAATTTGACAGCAGATCAGTAGCAGAAACCGAGCAGGATTTGCATAGAATTATTATAGCAGATAGCCAGCAAAAACCGAGCAGGATCTGCACAACGCAATTTGATATCAAATTGATAGCAGAAATCAAGCAGGATCTGCGCGCCCGCAATCTGACGGCAGATTGGTAGCAGAAATCGAGCAGGATCTGCTAACATGACTTGACATCAGATTGTCGGCAGAAATCGAGCAAGATCTGCGTGCGCGCAATCTGATGGTAAATTGGCAGTAGAAATCAAACAGAATCTGCAGCTTTTAGCATTCATATAATTTATTGAAATAGTATAGTTTATTCGCTTACAGCTATGCGGCGCACTATTCACTTTCTATACCCGTATCCAAGTTCTTGTCACAAGCGTATATAATGCCTGCAAAATGCGGCTAATAACATCGTAATTTATTTCTATCAGTTTAATTTCTGATACGTCTCCCATACCTGGAATTCAGATATTGAACTGATTTTTAGAAAATCAGACATATAAATGTCCGATTTTCACTTATTCGGAAAGAAATTATCCAAATAAGTGAAAATCGTTTGTTATTATATCTATTTAAGATATAAAATAGAAATTAACTTCCATATAAATAAAATATTTTAATTTTGATTTAATTTCATAAATTAAATTATTCAAATTTTCCTATATATATTACATTAATATATATTATTAATATTATAAATTTATGTTATTAATACAAACGTCAGAAAATGACATCTCGTGAAGGTGACATATCAACTATTGACGTCATTTTTGAATCTTATGAGACCTAACTTTAGGACGTCTAATTGATTATTTTGTGACCAAAATTTACTGTCATCTTGCTACTTGGAATCGAGACCTTTTAAATGTTTAAATCCATTTAAA